AGGATGCCCTTTGTCACCACTCCTATTCAATATTGTTTTGGAAGTCTTAGCCAGAGCTATATGGCAAAATAGAGAAATTAAAGGCATCCAAATCGGCAAAGAGGAAATAAAACTCTCTCTATTTGGAGACTATACGATCCTATACATAGAAAACCCCAAAGATTCAGTAAAAAAAAACTACTAGACATCATTGGAAGATTCAGCAAAGTGGCAGGGTATAAGATCAACATACAATAACAGTTGGATTCCTCTACAGTAACAATGACAGCACTGAAAAGGACGACAGGAAAGTAACACTATTTACAATAGCCATCCAAAGGATGAAATATCTGGGAATAAATGAAACCAGTGAAACAAAGGACCTATACGAAGAAAACTACAGGACACTGCAAGAAACCAAAATAGACTTATAAAAGTGGAAGAATATACCATGTCCCTGGATAGGAACACTCAACATCATGAAAATGTCAATACTACCCAAAGCAATTTACACATAGAATGCCATCCCAATCCAGATTCCAGTGACATTTTTAAGAGATGGAAAAGACAATGACAATTTTATATGGAAAGGAAAGAGACCCAAGATAAGAAAGCACTGCTTAAGAATAAGAACAAGGTTAGAAGCCTCTCACTCTCTGATTTCAAAATCTACTACATGGCTACAGTGGTCAAAAGAGCCTGGTACTGGTACAATGAAAGAAACATTGATCAATGGAACAGAATCGAAAATCCAGAAATTAACCCATCCACATACAGCCAACTGATTTTTGACAAACTGCCTAGGTATATTGCATGTAGAGGAGATAGTCTCTTTAACAGATGGTGCTGGCAGAACTACAAAGCTATATGCAAAAGACTGAAACAAGACATTTACCTCACGCTCTATACAAAAACCAACCCAGCATGGATTAAAGACTTAAACATGAATCCCAAAATTACGGAGTTTATCAATAAAAAAAATAGGGACAAATGTGAGGGCTCTAATACAGAGAATACACAGACTACCAAACATTTTGAAAATTAAAAGTAGACAAAATAGATGATTGGGACATACTAAAAATTAAAAATTTATGTGCATCAATAGACTTCACCAAAAGAGTAAAAAGGGAACCCACAGAATGGGAAAAAAATATTTTGCAACAACACATCAGACAAAGGACTCATTTCTAAAATATATAGGAAACTACAACACCTCTACAAGAAAAAGACAAATAACCCAATTAAAAAATGGGCACAGGAAAGGAACAGATCTGGGCAACCAGCAAACATATGAAGAAACATAGTTATGTTCATGATCACTAGCCATTAGAGAGATGCAAATCAAAACAACAATGAGATATTATCTCACACCAGCAATAACAGCAAAGATCAAAAAGTAAAGGACAATAAATGCTGGCAAGGATGCGGTGAGACTGGGACCCTCCTACATAGTTGGTGGGATTGCAAATGTTCCAACCACTCTAGAAAGCAATATGGTGCTTTCTCACAAGGCTGGAAATACAAATACCTTATGATCCAACAATTCCTCGATTTGGTATTTACCCACAAGAAATACGAACCATAACACGAGTAGATATATGCACACCAATGTTCATAGCAGCAGTATTTACAATAGCAAAAAGATAGAGACAGCCAAAGTACCCATCAATGGAAGAATGGATAAACAAACGTGATACCTACACACAATGGAAGAAGAAATACAAGCCATAACATGAGAAGATATATGCACACCAATGTTCATAGCAGCAGTATTTACAATAGCAAAAAGATAGAGACAGCCAAAGTGCCATCAATGGAAAATGGATAAACAAACTGTGGTACCTACTACACACAATGCTACCCTTCAAGAACAAGGAAGCTGCAAGCCACGGCATAACATGGATGAACCTTGAAGACATTATGCTGAGTGAAATTAGTCACAAAAGAAGAAATTCTGCATAGG